TTATACTTGGGGTTATAATTCAATACCGTCTTATTTTGTTCAAACTCTTCCAGCTTTGACTATTGGGTACTCTTTCAGTTGGTTCCTGTGTCCATCTGACATATCTCCATCATGTGGAGCTTTTTGTTCTGTTTTTTAGCACTTTCCTACTTTTTGGTACTATAAGATGCTTTAGGCTCATCTTATATATTTCCTTCCCCAGTTCTAGAATCAACCAATGCTAAAAAGACACCTCGTTCCTTTTACTGGAGAATGATACTGATATTACAGATGAAGATCTGTACACTAGGTTTTGCTCTCTACTACCGGAGTATGTTTACTTCTAGGCCCTTCAGTGGACAAAACAAGGAAATATACATCCTGTGGATTACGCCTACAAAATCCATTCTTTGTTTTATAAAGTTCTATTGGTTTCAATAAATGGATGGTGCTGTGTATGCACATATGATATCACAGAGAAGAGTTTCACGACCTTAAAAATCCCCTGTACTTTATCCATTCAACCCTCTCCCTTCCCCAGTAACCACTGATTTTATCAACACCACAGTTCTGTCTTTTCCAGATATTCATATAATTGGAATCACACAGTATGCAGCCTTTTCAGACTGGCATCCTTCACTTGAACAATAAGCATTTAAGATTCACCCATGCCTGTTGGTGGGTGAATAGTCATTTCTTTATATTGCCAAATAATAGGTCATTGCATGGATGTCCCACATGTTGTTATCCATTTACCTAACAATGGACATCTTGGTCACCGTTGTTTAGCAATTATGATTAAAGCTGCTATAAACATTCAGAAGCAGGTTTTCGTGTGAACATAATTTGAAAATCAGCTGTGCATGCACCTAGGACTATGACTACTGGAACATTTGATAAGACTATGGTTAGCTTTATATGACACTGCCAAACTGTCTTCCAAAGTGGTTGTACGTTTTGCATTTCCACCAGCAATGAATGAGAGCTCCTGTTGTTTAATATCCTTGACAGAAAATTGGTATTGTCAGGTTTTTGAATTTCAGTCATTCTAATAGGTATGCAGTAGTATTTCAATGTTGTCTTAATTTGCAATTCCCAAATGATTAAAGACCTTTAAATAATTAATAATTCTTTACTTTAAATTTTTTGTGTTTGAAATGCTGGCAACAATTCTGTCTCCTGACTGGACCCTAACTGATTCTCTATACCTCCACTGTCCAACATGGTAGCCACTAGCCTCATGCAGATAACTGAGCCTTCAAATGTGGTGAGTCAAAAATGAGATAAGCTGAAATGTGAAATATCCAAAAGGTTGTGAACATTTAATGTTAAAAAGAGCATAAAAAAATCTCACTAATAATTTTATATCAATTATAAGAAAATTGTAAGATTTTTGCTATATATCAAAATATCTACTGATTAAATAAATAACATTATTAGAATTAATTTCACCCATTTCTTGTCACTTACTAGAAAATTTTAAATTACATATGTGGTTCACATCATATTTCTGTTGGATAGTGCCACTCTATTCTAATACCATAATCGCAGTAATCCTTATAACACAAAACTAATCTCCCATCACTTCCTGGTTTACTTGATATCTGATCTTCCTAGACTCTCATTACCATCAAGTTAGAAGTCTAAACTGCTTGGCATGGCAACTATCAATTACTACCTATTCAGTCATCCAACACACAGATCCTTCTTTACAGGCTACAATTCTGCCATCCTGGTCAATTTAAAGTTGTGTGAGAACATCATTCTTCCATGCACACATCCTGTTCAGTTGGACTTCAGATTATGACCTCTGACTTACGTCTGTACTCACTCTTTAGAGTAGCAGGTATCTTCCCAGTTGTATGTGTAAGAGGGAAAGACTGCTATTTTTCTTCATTGACTAACTAATACATTCACATGGTTCAAAATTCAAAAGGTGATACAAGTTATACAAAAAAAACCTTGCTCTCCCAC